TATCCCGTACAGTGATTTGATTGTATCCCGTACAGGTGATTGTATCCCGTACAGGTGATTGTATCCCGTACAGGTGATTGTATCCCGTACAGTGATTTGATTGTATCCCGTACAGGTGATTGTATCCCGTACAGGTGATTGTATCCCGTACAGTGATTTGATTGTATCCCGTACAGGTGATTGTATCCCGTACAGTGATTTGATTGTATCCCGTACAGGTGATTGTATCCCGTACAGTGATTTGATTGTATCCCGTACAGGTGATTGTATCCCGTACAGTGATTTGATTGTATCCCGTACAGGTGATTGTATCTCGTACAGGTGATTGTATCACGTACAGTGATTGTATTCCGTGTAGTGACCCTTAGTGATTGTATCCCGTACAAATGACTTTATCCCGTACATTGATTCTCTCAACGACCCCCTCAGTAACTATTTCCGTGTCTGTATCCCCAACAGTGTATTTTCTCCACAACCCCCTCAGTAACTCTCTCCGTGTCTATATCCTATACAGTGATTCTCTCATCAATTCGCTCAGTAACTATCTCCGTGTCTGTATCCTGTACAGTGATCTCCCTTAGAAAGCAGCACGTGAGGACCCCTGAGCAGGGTCCGTGTGTTCCGTGTCCGATTTGATATGGTAATTCCACACGGTGACAGAATAAACAAACGCTGAACATGGGATTTACAGACGTGGTGAAACATATCACACATGTTTCACACCTGGTCTTAATTAATAGAACCGTAAACACGATAACATTTACACCAGGTAAGAGCTCACGCGGTCCTCAGTGTAGGTAGGATAAATCTAAACGTGCTGGAGAATAGACAGCCTTAAACTTGTTTTAGGTTTCGGTTATTTATCTTTAGTGGCAGAAATTTCGTCATGGTCTAAATTTTTATCGTGACATAAACTGACCAATCGCTTGGTTGATGATGATATATCAGTGCTTTATAGAGTTCAAGGGTTCTGTACACAGACCAGAACTGGTCATTACAACGTGGTTCTTTATGTCTTGTATTAAACCGAGCACAAGCATACAGGATACTGTACAACTATTTTCAGACAAAGTCCTTTATCTACTCGATATCATATCTTTCGTCACTTCTCATTCCGAGTATAGATACGTATATTGAAAGTGGGACCTGTGCATGGTTAGAATGGTTGCTCGGCACACGGTGTAAACTAAATTTGTCTCATCTTTGAACTGCATCGGTTTCGTTCTCTATTCATTCATCTTCTCTGAATTTTCTGTATATATATTACATCCCTGAGAGCTTTCATTGGAAGATAAATAAGGAACTACACTTAACTCACCGACCAATACTTGCATGATGTCATGTGATTCCTTTTTATCTTTATCAAAGAGATCACAGGTTAGCGAGAGCTCGTTACTCTTTTCAATGGTAGTCTCCTTTTCTCGTCTGCAAAGTGTCAAGAACCTTCGATTGTCGCCATGAAATGAAAAACACACAGGCAAATGCTCATTTCAGAGCAGAACGGTTACATTTACGTATAAGAGATGTTCTACTTACGTGTTTCCCGTTTCTAAAATTCAGGTGAGCTGGATGGAGTCTTAAGTCCGCTTTTTGGGTAGGAAAAGACATCGAAATCGCATCTGCATAGTGAGTTCCGAAAACAGTATTTGTCTCGGCTCTGTAATTTCAGGAAGATATTTTACGTGATTCGGCTGTGTAATTTCAGGAGGATGATATTAGGTGTCTCCGCTCTGTAATTTGAGGATGATAATATAACGTGTCTCGGCTCTGTTATTAGAGGAAAATTGTATTACGTGTCTCGGCTCTGTAATTTCAGGAGGATGATATCACGTGTTTCGGCACTGTACTTTCAGGAGGATGATATCAGGTGTCTCGGCTCTGTACTTTCAGGAGGATGATATCACGTGTCTCGGCTCTGTACTTTCAGGAGGATGATATCACGTGTCTCGGCTCTGTAATTTCAGGGGGATGATATCACGGGTCTCGGCACTGTAATTTCAGGAGGATGACCTTACATGTCTCGGCACTGTGATTAAAGGAAAATGATTTTTCGTGTCTCGACTCTGTAATTTCAGGAAGATGATATCACGTGTCTCGGCTCTGTAATTTCAGGAGGATGACCTTACATGTCTCGGCACTGTGATTAAAGGAAAATGATTTTTCGTGTCTCGACTCTGTAATTTCAGGAAGATGATATCACGTGTCTCGGCTCTGTAATTTCAGGAGGATGACCTTACATGTCTCGGCACTGTGATTAAAGGAAAATGATTTTTCGTGTCTCGACTCTGTAATTTCAGGGGGATGATATCACGTGTTTCGGCTCTGTAATTTAAGGAGGATAATTTACGTGTCTCGGCTCAGTTTATAATTGCTTTCCCAAAATCTAAGTTGGAACTGTATGTGTCTTACCGTTTTAAGTTTAGTCAGTTCAAATTGTTTGTCTGTCGGTTCCTTAATTTTTGTTAGAGTTGAAAACACACGTGACTCAGCAATATGATTTTAGTTAGTTGAAACTGGATGTGGTTGAGCTCTGTAACTTCCATTGATTAAAATTATGTGTGTCTCGACTATGTAATTTTAGCGAGATGAAAATCTCATGCTTATAATGAGTCTGAAACTGTATGAAACAACACATTATCTTTGTTACGTATACATTCCACTTTTTGGCTATTTTATAACAAGAACTATTCGATTTTGGGTTAAGACCTCCAAGTTCCGTGAGATGGTAAATATTGATAAGGTTAGCACCGATCACGCCTTACAGCATAAATAACACACTTTTCTGTCGATGAGTAGTGTCCATTATGAAAAAAAAATGTTTAAAAAATTAATTGAAATTGTGTAATATCATCCTGGTCTCTCCTTTAGACCCGATCGATAATCCAAGATGGTTTTTGAACAACCAAACACACGATTGCTAAATATCATGTAACGACTAAATTATCGGTTTTAACATTTCGGAGTTACAGTTGCATGTCTTGTTTGTTTGATTTTTTGTTGAAATTATTCCGACTTTACACGTTGTGACATTACATGACAATATTATACTGTACTTCTCCAAACTTCACATTTTGTTTGTTTATTTGTACTTTTTTATTATGTACAAACAGGATATTTAAAACATTCTTCATCTTCTTTGCTGTCCGTGGTGACGGGTCAGATAATCTGTAGCCTTACACAACCAAACGATGAAACTGTTTGTTTTGATGACATGTTTACCGAAACCCAAACAGTCGATTCCTGATGTAGAAACACTTCAAAAAGTGAACGAACCATTAAAAAAAAATGCTTGTAAATGAACATTTAATTTCCCTGACAAATATATTTAAAGACTGGACCCATAAGATATCGTTACTTACAGAAACCTTGAGCTGCAACTGTTTGACGTGTTCGTTTTTCAATACCATTTCGTCACTTCCGGTGATATAGAGAGACCGACCTCAAGTTATATTGAGGGCAAATCGTTTCAAGCTGGTAATGTGTATGTTCGAACGATACTTGTTTACTATAGTGTTAAAATGGTAAGTGTACAGAGTGATTATTATTCATCGGAGCAGTACGAGTATTTACTGTTTAAAAAAAAAGATATTTTTCCTTGAATGAAAATATATGGTGATGTTGTCATGGGCAGACTAGAACAACTGTGTTGACCACACACACTCTTCTGCAAGCTTTTCAATGTGGCGTTATCATAAATGGTAGCGATATGAATGCACAAGGGAATACTTGTAAAGTTCTAGAAAAACGTGACAGAAGTAATTTAATGTCCAATAATGTCGTGACGTCGGTATTCAGTGCTGAATCAAAAGATCCGAATGGACTCTTAGGAGACAGCCTTTTGACCCGGACATATTTATTCGTGGCACCTTTGGCTTTTTCTTCTTTAAATATGTTCAACGGAGACGCTGTGTCCAAGTTGTAGAGATGTTTCCATCCATTTAAGAAAGAAAGTATTGCTGTTTATGTTTGATATATCTAATTTTGTATAAGATATCTTTTATACAAATATCTTTATATCGCAAGTACACACATCTCCAAGTTTCAATTGGTTTACTTTTGTCCTGGCATAAATTATTTTCGGAACATCACGAATTTTGATCAATTTTCGTGTTTGATGAGATTTTGAATTCATGATGTTTTCATTCTATTATTCTTTCTTTTCATTCTTTTTTACAAAATGATAAACGTTCATGGAGGAAGATCTATCAACACTTTCCCATGCTTTTCATTTTTTTATCTACAATATTAATATCTTACGGGACGTTTTTCTGAAAAGCAGAACCCCAGCTGTAGGACGGGTGTAGTAAATGGCGATATGGACACAAACGTACCCACAAATTATAATACAATTCTCTTATCTCAAACGTGATATGCAGTTTTCTAATAGATGCTTAGTGAAGATAATCTCACAAAGATTTAATCAACAATTTCATCTTGCAAAATTGTTCTGCATACTTTTACTCTGGTGTTAGAAAGAAATATGAAAAGAGGATGTTTTCTTCAATATGAAAACTAGACATATTTAAATAACTTTTAAAATATAGAATTAGCTATGCGCAACTACTGGTAACAATTACTTTGCGTCTTAACCAATGGAGTAGAGAGATGGTCATATATACACATCATATTCACACCCCAGATAAACATCACCGACTCATATACACTCCACTGATAATAAAGAAAAATATTGAGATAACGCTTTATGAATTTCGCAATAATGATAACAACGATATATCATATAAAATGGATATTTTCTTAATAAAGATGTGATTTTTAATTTATCAAGATTGCAAATCTTTCCGTTTGACTGACTTTATAACATATCTTGGTTTGTAATAATCTGATTCATCTTTCTGTACCGCTGCTGTATATCACACAAAGTCCCGAATTTATTGTTCTATTCTAATTTCAAAGACTGGATAATTCAGAATAAATTTTCTGGGGCGTTTTCAAAGTGATAATTAGTGAAATGTAATTTGAATGACTTTGAAGACCTATAGACGGTCAAGAAGTTGAAAAGAGTGTCTACTATCATACTCTACGCCTCTTCATACCCAACTCCACACCATACCCTACTCCTCCTCATACTCAACTCCACACCATACCCTACTCCTCCTCATACCCAACTCCACATCATACCCTACTCCTCCTCATACCCAACTCCACATTACAACCTACTCCTCCTCATACCCAACTCCACATCATACCCTACTCCTCCTCATACCCAACTCCACATTACAACCTACTCCTCCTCATACCCAACTCCATATCATACCCTACTCCTCCTTATCCCAAACTCCACATCACAACCTACTCCTCCTCAAACCCAACTCTACGTCATACCCAACTCCACGTCATACCCTACTCCTCCTCATACCCAACTCCAAGTCATACTAAACTCCACCTCATACCAAACTCCACATCATACACTTCGCCTCCTCATACCCAACTCCACATCACAACCTACTCCTCCTCATATCCAACTCCTCCTCATACCCAACTTCACATCATACACTACTTACAACATACTCAACTCCACAGCATACCCTGTTCTTCCTCATATCAAACTCCACATCATACCCTACTCCACCTGATACCCAACTCCACATCATTCCCTACTCCATCTGATACCCATCTCCACATCATTCCCTACTCCACATCATACACTACTTACCAAATACTCACCTCCACATCACACTCTACTCCACCTGATGTCCAACTCCACGTCATACCCAACTCCACATCATACCCAACTCCTCCTCATACCCAACTCCACATCATACCCTACTCCACCTCATACCCAACTCCACATCATACCCAGCTCCACATGAAGCCCTACTCCTCCTCCTCATACCCAACCCCACGTCATGCCCTACTCCTCCTTATACTCAACTCCACACCATACCCAATTCCACCTCATACCCAACTCTACATCATACCCAACTCCACATCACACCCTACTCCTCCTCATACCCAACTCCACAGCAAACCCTACTCCTCCTCATACCCAACTCCACATCATACACTACTTACCACATACTCAACTCCACATCACACTCTACTCCACGTCATACCAAACTCCACATCAACCCTACTCCTCGTCATACCCAACTCCACATCATACACTACTTACCACATACTCAACTCCACATCACACTCTACTCCACCTCATACCCAACTCCACATCATACCCTACTCCTCCTCATACCCAACTCCACATCAGACCCAGCTCCACATGAAGCCATACTCCTCCTCATACCCAACCCCACTTCATACCCTACTCCTCCTCATACCCAACCCCACTTCATACCCTACTCCTCCTCATACCCTACTTCACATCATACCCAACTCCACATCATACCCTACTCCACGTTATGCCCAGCTCCACATCAAACTCTACTCCATCTTATACCCAACCCCACATCATAACCAACTCTTCCTCATATCCAACTCCACATCATACCCTACTCCTCCTTATACCCGACTCCACATCATACCCTGCTGCACGTCATATCCAACTCCACAGAAAACCCTACTCCTCCTCATACCCAACTCCACATCATACACTACTTACCACATACTCAACTCCGCATCACACTCTACTCCACCTCATACCCAACCCCACATCATACCCTACTCCTCCTCATACCCAAATCCACATCATATCCTACTCCACCTTATACCCAACTCCACATCACATATCACTACTTACCACTTACTCAACTCCACATCACACTCTACTCCACCTCATACCCAACCCCACATCATATCCTACTCCACCTTATACCCAACTCCACATCAAACCCTACTCCTCCTCATACCCAACTCCACATCATACACTACTTACCACTTACTCAACTCCACATCACACTCTACTCCACCTCATACCCAACTCCACATCATGCCCAACTCCTACTCATACCCAACTCCACGTCATACCCGACTCCTCCTTATACCCAACTCCACATCAAACCCTACTCCTCGTCATACCCAACTCCACATCATACACTACTTACCACTTACTCAACTCCACATCACACTCTACTCCACCTCATACCCAACCCCACATCATATCCTACTCCACCTAATACCCAACTCCACATCATACACTACTTACCACTTACTCAACTCCACATCACACTCTACTCCACCTCATACCCAACTCCACATCATGCCCAACTCCTACTCATACCCAACTCCACGTCAAACCCGACTCCTCCTTATACCCAAATCCACGTCATACACTACTTACCACATACTCAACTCCACATCACACTCTACTCCACCTCAAACCCAACTCCACATCATACCCAACTCCTCCTCATACCCAACCCGACATCATACCCTACTCCACGTCATACCCAACTCCACATCATACCCAACACCACATCATACCCTGTTCTTCCTCATACCCAACTCCACATCATACCCTACTCCTCCTCATACCCAACTCCACATCAGACCCAGCTCCACATGAAGCCATACTCCTCCTCATACCCAACCCCACTTCATACCCTACTCCTCCTCATACCCAACTTCACATCATACCCAACTCCACATCATACACTACTCCACGTCATGCCCAGCTCCACATCAAACCCTACTCCATCTTATACCCAACTCCACATCATAACCAACTCTTCCTCATATCCAACTCCACATCACACCCTACTCCTCCTTATACCCAACTCCACATCATACCCTACTCCTCCTTATACCCAACTCCACATCATACCCTACTCCTCCTTATACCCGACTCCACATCATTCCCTACTGCACGTCATACCAAACTCCACAGCAAACCCTACTCCTTCTCATACCCAACTCCACATCCTACACTACTTACCACATACTCAACTCCACATCACACTCTACTCCACCTCATACCCAACTCCACATCACACCCTACTCCACCTCATACCCAACTCCACATCATACACTACTCCTCCTCATACCCAACTCCACGTCATACCCAACCCCACATCATACCCTACTCCACGTCATACCCAACTCCACGTCATACCCAACTCCACATCATACCCAACTCCTCCTCATACCCAACTCAACGTCATACCTAGCTCCACATGAAGCCCTACTCCTCCTCATACCCAACCCCACTTCATACCCTACTCCTCTTCAAACACAACTCCACATCATACCCAACTCCACATCATACCCTACTCCACATCATACCCTATTCCTCCTTATACCCACCTCCGCATGATTACCTACTACTGTTTAAACCCACCTCCCGAACACACAATATCCCTATAGTGTTATGTCTCCCTTGATATCTGGTATCGTAACAGCCACCCTTTTGTGCGTTCCTTGTATCTGGGTATCGTAGGAACCATCTAATGTTGTCCACTTTTCTTTAACGTCAGAGTTTCGTAACATTCATCCGCTTACGTTTTCTTCCCCATTATGTACGGGTAACATCAAAATGATTATTTAAACATTATCGTTTGACCAAATCAGTATGGGTATCAGTATCTTATCACAGTCAGCAATCGATCACATCGAGATAAACGAGACATTGCTGATAATCCACGAGATATTCCCGCTATCACCCGTGTTAACCTGCCTGTATCATCACTGACGTCAACACGTGTATGTTGATTACATATCTCACTGATAAAATGTTTGTCATTTCGTATGCTTTGTTTGTGATAACTAAGGACAACAGATATGTCGCTGATGTATAACTACATGTCATTTTTACAGATACTGTAGGGATATATCTCTTTCACAACTCGTTATGAAAAATCAGAGGCATGCTAAATACAAGCCTTGTGTTATTTTGCCGTCATTATTTGATAGCTTGGGTTTTGTGAAGATTGGTTTCTAAATGAACGCGCCAGATGACAACTAAGTACTATTTCGGTGTTAACCGACGATAATTCTATGGAAAGCGTCTTTGCCGGTGTATTGTTGACAACTGACGGTCGGTATGACGTCATCACTTAATGACGTAGATATAGTGTAACTGTTGGCTACGTTACGTTGCATTAAAGAAAACAAAATCTGTCATAGGAACATAAATAGGTAATATATTATATACTTATATCGGAAATGTATAACGATCTATACTATCTACAACCATCATAAGTTATATGTTGTATGTTCTATTTCACTCATTAAAATACAATCATCGCGATATCAAATGAATATCGACATGTTTACAGTAATAACGAGTTGCCAGCTGACAACGGAGGAATTTAACTTTGACGGCCTCCTGAGTTGTACGTAAGGAAGGTGTTTTTTTTCACAAATCCAAACAAATAAAGTATTTCATGGCTCTCGAATAATAAAGATTCAAAGTCAGTGTGATTTATATAACTTTACAATTTTACAATAGTCGAGTGCTACTCGAATACTGTTTGCTGTATCCGCCATGGCACAGTCGAGTACCGTAACGTCTACATTGTGACAGTCGAGTACCGTAACGTCTACAGTGTGACAGTCGAGTACCGTAACGTCTACATTGTGACAGTCGAGTACCGTAACGTCTACATTGTGACAGTCGAGTACCGTAACGTCTACAGTGTGACAGTCGAGTACCGTAACGTCTACATTGTGACAGTCCCATACTGTATCGTATACAATGTAACAGTAGGTACTGTATTGTCTACAGTGTGACTACAAATAGTATTAACACAGAATGCGTACTATTTAATGTGTCATTCGGAATGTTTCCTTAGCCTCTAGCTCTTCTGAATATGTATTGTTCGTGGCCAAAATACACAAGTTGAAATCGGATTAGTACTTGAAAACTCCGTCCTTATTTTCTCTCATACATTAATCCTTTAAAGGGACTTCAAAGTGGAATTTTCAATAAAGGTGTTTTAAACATTGGTAGTGTTGGCGGTATACAGGTAAGACAAAGACGGGAACACCTCGCAGGTGTGCGGGAGACAATGACTTCACTGGCTCTGATAAGCAGATAGTATTGTATGTACAGGACCACGGCCAGCTCATTTAAATATCAAATTGAGACGAGGCCCCTTGCAGGGATAGGAACATGGTCCGCAGATTTAAATATATTGAGAAGTCCGGTAAAATAATAAAGACTGTTCTTATGTGAGATATTGAACAATATGCCTAGCTTTGGTAACTATGTAGTGAAGAACAAAAATAACATTTGCAGATATTGAACAATGTATCATACTTTAATAACTTTGTAGTAAGGGTGATATCCTGCAATGTACCTGTAACTCTCAGGAAATGTGTGATATCGAACAATGTAAGTCACTATGATCACTTTGTTGTTGGGTACAATGATTATGTTTGCGGATGTCATACAACGTGCCGAATCATATATCTCCGTTGACGGAATGATCTAAATGTGCTTTACCAAAACTCTGAATTTTAGGACCCGAGGGGCTCACATCTAGTTATGGCTATATCCCTACTGTACATAGTTCTCTACACCGAACTCTATCGTCCCTACACCGAACTCAATCGTCCCTACACCGGACTCTATCGTCCACACACCAGACTCTATCGTCCATACACCGGACTCTATCGTCCACACACCAGACTCTATCGTCCACACACCGTATTCTATCGTCCATACATCGGACTCTATCGTCCATACACACAGAACTCTATCGTCCATACATCAGACCCTATCGTCCCTACACCGGACTCTATCGTCCATACACACAGAACTCTATCGTCCATACACCAGACTCTATCCTCCATACACCAGACCCTATCGTCCATACACCGGACTCTATCGTCCATACACCAGACTCATTTGTCCATACACCGGACTATATCGTCCATACACCGGACTCTATCGTCCACACACCAGACTCTATCGTCCACACACCGTATTCTATCGTCCATACATCGGACTCTATCGTCCATACACACAGAACTCTATCGTCCATACATCAGACCCTATCGTCCCTACACCGGACTCTATCGTCCCTACACCGGACTCTATCGTCCATACACACAGAACTCTATCGTCCATACACCAGACTCTATCGTCCATACACCAGACCCTATCGTCCATACATCGGACTATATCGTCCATACACCGCGCGGTATCGTCCGTACACCGGACTTTATCGTCCATTCACCGGACTCTATCGTCCATACATCGGACTCTATCGTCCATACACAAAACTGTATTGTCCCTACACCGGACTCTATCGTCCATACACACAGAACTCTATCGTCCATACACCAGACTCTATCCTCCATACACCAGACCCTATCGTCCATACACCGGACTCTATCGTCCATACACCAGACTCATTTGTCCATACACCGGACTATATCGTCCATACACCGGACTCTATCGTCCACACACCAGACTCTATCGTCCACACACCGTATTCTATCGTCCATACATCGGACTCTATCGTCCATACACACAGAACTCTATCGTCCATACATCAGACCCTATCGTCCCTACACCGGACTCTATCGTCCCTACACCGGACTCTATCGTCCATACACACAGAACTCTATCGTCCATACACCAGACTCTATCCTCCATACACCAGACCCTATCGTCCATACACCGGACTCTATCGTCCATACACAAGACTCATTTGTCCATACACCGGACTATATCGTCCATTCACCGGACTCTATCGTCCATACATCGGACTCTATCGTCCCTACACAAAACTCTATTGTCCATACACCGGACTCTATCGTCCATACACCAGACTCTATCGTCCATACACCAGACTCATTTGTCCATACACCGGACTATATCGTCCATCAAACCGGACTCTATCGTCCATACATCGGACTCTATCGTCCATACACACAGAACTCTATCGTCCATACATCAGACCCTCTCGTCCCTACACCGGACTCTATCGTCCCTACACCGGACTCTATCGTCCATACACACAGAACTCTATCGTCCATACACCAGACTCTATCGTCCATACACCAGACCCTATCGTCCATACATCGTACTATATCGTCCATACACCGCGCGGTATCGTCCGTACACCGGACTTTATCGTCCATTCACCGGTCCATACACCGGACTCTATCGTCCATACACCAGACTCTATCGTCCATACACCAGACTCATTTGTCCATACACCGGACTATATCGTCCATCCACCGGACTCTATCGTCCATACATCGGACTCTATCGTCCATACACACAGAACTCTATCGTCCATACATCAGACCCTATCGTCCCTACACCGGACTCTATCGTCCCTACACCGGACTCTATCGTCCATACACACAAAACTCTATCGTCCATACACCAGACTCTATCCTCCATACACAAGACCCTATCGTCCATACACCGGACTCTATCGTCCTTACACACAGAACTCTATCGTCCCTACACCGGACTCTATCGTCCCTACACCGGAGTCTATCGTCCATACACACAGAACTCTATCGTCCATACACCAGATTCATTTGTCCATACACCAGACTCTATCGTCCATACATCGGACTCTATCGTGCATACTAAAGTTTGCTATATTTTTTCCATGCTTCGTCCATTGACATTTTGCAGTTTCATCGGTTGATGTGCATTGATGCTAAATCTCTATAACTTTACAAAACTGCAAAATTCTTATCCTATAAATCCAAGTATCGTTTTATGAAATTCAACCATATCCCCTCACATCCTTCTGTAAGTCTAACGTTGAAGGTTTAGTTGTGATAGTCTCTCTGGGAAGAGTATATCATACATTCCCGGTTAACTCTTCGTTGCTCTGTATTGCACAGCATCAATTATACATATAACCTTTGTTTTAAACGGAACCCAAACAGAATTGGTCTAATGCAAGTGCGTTCTTACCGGAATAACGGAAATGGTTTGTGATTCATATTGTTGAAAGGGCGAAAAAGTGTATTAGCTTATTTAAGTTTTCTTGCTTATGTGAATTTGGAAGTTAAATTTCGAATTGATAGATATGCCAATACTGTTTTCCTCGTTAGTTCTTGTGGAGGTTGTTTCTTACTACAGTAGATGTCCCCATGGTGTTTCCTGTTTTTTTTTCAATTCACGGTCGATGTGCATGTGCTTAAGATCATCTGGATGTATTCCTCATAACGGAGTATCGCTCTAGACACCCAT